CAAAGAATGTACTCTCTATTTTATCCTCTAAGACTTTTATAGTTCATGGCCTTACATTTAAGTTTTTTTAAATCACATTTGAGTTTATTTTTGTATGTGATGTTAAAAAACACTCTACTCTATTTTTCTACATGTAGGTGCCCCATTTTTCCAGTGTCACTTATTAAAGAGACTGTTTTTTTCTCCATTGTATATTCTTGCCTTCTTTGTCAAAGGTACCCATAGATGTGTGGGTTTATCTCTGAGCTTTCTATCATATTTCACTGATCTGTATTTCTGTTTTTGTGCCAGTGCCATACTCTCTTGATGACTGGAGCTTTGTAGTATAGCCTGAAGTCAGAAAAGTTGATTCTTCCAGCTCCATTCTTCTATCTCAAGATTGCTTTGAATCTTCAGGGTCTTTTGTGTTTCCATACAAATTGTGAAATATTTTGTTCCAGTTCTGTAAAAAACTATCACTGATAGTTTGATAGAGATTGCATTGAATTTGTAGATTCCTTTTCACAATATAGTCATTTGACAATATTGATTTTTCCAATCCAAGAACATCATATATCTTTCCATCTGTCTTTACCATATTTGATTTCTTTCATCAGTGTCTTATAGTTTCTGCATACGTGTCTTTTGTCTCTTTAGGTAGCTTTATTTCTTTGTATGTTTTTCTTTTCACTCCAATATTGAAAGGGATTGTTTCTTTAATTTATCTTTCTGATTTTTCATTGTTAGTGTAGAAATACAAGAGATTCTTATGTATTAATTGTGTATCCTAAAACCTTACTGTGTTCATTGATTATCCCTAGTAATTTCTGGTGGCATCTAAAACATCTACATCTGCTTCACTGACTACACTAAAACCTACACTAAAGCCTTTGACTGTGTGGATCACAACAAATGATGGAAAGTTCTTAAAGGGATGGGAATACCAGACCACCTTTCCTGCCTCCTGAGAATCCTGTATGCAGGTCAAGAAGCAACAATAGAACTGGACATAGAACTGGTTCAAAATTAGGAAAGGAGTATATCAAGGCTGTATATTGTCACCTTGCTTATTTAACTGATATGCAGAGTATATCATGTGAAATGTTGGGCTGGATAACTCAAAAGCAGGAATCAACATTACTGGGAGATAACCTCTGATATGCAGATGACACCACCCTAAAGGCAGAAAGTGAAGAGGAACTAAAGAGCCTCTTGATGAAACTGAAAGAGAAGAGAGAAAAAAAAAACTGGCTTAAAACTCAAAATTCAAGTTACTAAGATCATGGCACCCAGTACCATACCTTCATGGCAAATAGATGGGGGAAAAATGGAAACAGTGATAGGCTTTATTTTCTTGGGCTCCATAATCACTGTGGACAGTGACTACCGCCATGAAATTAAAGAATGCTTGCTCCTGGGAAGAAAAAAACTATGACAAACCTAGATAAAATAATAAAAAGTAGAGACACCACTGAGCGCCAAAGAATAGAAGCTTTTGAACTGTGGTGTTGGAGAAGACTCTCAAGAGTTCCTTTGACTGCAAGGAGATCAAGCCAGCCAATCCTAAAGGAAATCAACCCTGAATATTCATTGGAAGGACTGATGCTGAAGCTGAAGCTCCAATACTTTGGCCACCTGATGTGACGAGCCAACTCATCGGAAAAGACCCTGAAGCTGGGAAAGATTGAGGGCAGGAGGAGATGGGAGTGACAGAGGGTGAGATGATTGGATGACTTCATCGACTCAATGGACATGAGTTTGGGCAGTCTCTGGGGGATAAGGAAGGACAGGGAAACCTGTCATGTTGCAGTCCATGGGGTCACAAAGAGTTGGACATGACTGAGTGACTGAACAACAACAATATATAGCCAACAACAATGTATAGTATAATGTAATTTGCAAAGAGTGAGAGACTTACTTCTTCTTTTCCAGTATGGATTCCTTTTGTTATTTTTTCTCCTCTGATTACCTTGGCTAAGACTTCCATAGCTATGCTGAATAATAGTGGCAAGAGTGGCACACTTGTCTTGTTCCTGATCTTAGAGGAAATGCTTTCAGTTTTTCACTGTTAGGAATGTTTTCTGTGGGTTTGTTGTATATGACCTTTATTATGTTGAGGTAGGTTCCTTCTATGCCAATTTTCTGGAGGTTTTTTTTATCATAAATGGGTGTCAAATTTCTCTGTGTCTATTGAGATGATCATATGGTCTTCATCTTTCAGTTTGTTAATGATGCTTATCCTTCTTAATATGCTTTTAAAAATTGAAGAGAAGGAATGCTTCCAAATTCATTCTATGGGCCAGTATTCTCTTGATAATATAATCAGGAAAAGATGCCACCAAAAAAATTACATGGCAATATCTCTGATGAAAATAGATGTAATTATACTCAAGAAAATATGTTTTGTGCAAGAATAGTAGTTCCATTTTTAGATTTTTAAGAAACCTCCATACTGTTCTCCATAATGGCTGTACCAATTTACAATCCACTAATAGTGCAGGAGGGTTCCATTTTCTCCATACCCTCTCCAGCATTTATTGTTTGTAAACTTTTTCATAATGGCCCTTCTGATTGACATAAGGTAATGTATTATTTCAGTTTGATTTACATTTGTCTGATAATTAGTGATTTTGAGCATCTTTTCATGTGCCTCTTTGTGATCTATATATCTTCTTTAGAGAAATGTCCATTTAGGTCTTCTGTAATTTGTGCAATGGAATATTACTCAGCCATAAAAAGAATGAAATTCTGCCACTTGCAGCCACTATGATGGACCTAGATAATATTATGCTTTTCTAAATAACTCTTAAGTTTTTAATTGAAGGATAATTCTCCTGGCAATCTTGATTCCAGCTTGTGCTTCATCCAGCCTGGCATTTCTCATGATGTACTCTGCATATAAGTTAAATAAGCAGGGTGACAATATATAGCCTTGATGTACTCCTTTCCCGATTTGGAACCAGTCTGTTGTTCCATGTCTGGTTCTAACTGTTGCTTCTTGACCTGTATACAGGTTTCTCAGGAGGCAGTTAAGATGGTCTGGTATTCTCATCTCTTGAAGAATTTTCCAGTTTGTTGTGATCCACAGAGTCAAAGGCTTTAGCATAGTCAATGAAGCAGATATATTTTCTGAAATTCTCTTGCTATTTCTATGAACCAATGAATATTGGCAATTTGATCTCTGGTTTCTCTGCATTTTCTAAATCCAGCTTGTACATCTGGAAGTTCTTGGTTCATGTACTGTTGAAGCCTAGCTTGGAGGATTTTGAGTATGACCTTGCTAGTATGTGAAATGAGTGCAATTGTGTGGTCATTTGAACATTAGTCCTTAGGGAAATGCAAATTAAACAACAGTGAAATACTACTTCACACCCACTACCATGGCTGTAATGAAAACAAAAATGGTTGAACACTGCTTGAATAAGTCTTTCTCTATAGGCTTAAGATGTAAAAGTGTTGCAATACTAACTTCTTGTTATAATTGTAATAAGTGTTTTGATTGTAAGTTTGTGTTTTTATTATTCTGTTCAAGAGAATAATCATTTGCATGCAAGTATAATTTTATAAGTACTTTTTAAAACTAAACATCTGAAGGTAGGAGGGAATGGTTAAACTGTGAAAATATCCTTATGCTAATTTTATTGAAGCCGCTACAAAACATTTCAGACAATATCTAGTAAACTCATTAAATACTCATTTTACATGGAAAAGGACATGCCATGAAAAAGCATATGCAAAAGTATCCCAGGTTTGTAAGAGTTTATTTGATAAAGAAAATGGAAAGTGTTAATATTTTGCTATAAGCCCTGGTGCATACGAGGTGGATTTATAGTTGATTATTTTCTTCCTGTCAATTTGCTAGGTTGTATACCATGCCCATGCTTTCCATACAATTTCTCTGTAATTGGTGAAAAAGAAAGAAATATTATCCTCAATAAATCCAGTAATGACCAGTCAGTAAAAATAACCGAGATACTGAGTCAAGATGGCAGACTGAGCACTGAGACTCTCCTCCAACCTCAAACTCCCTTAAATGACAGGAAAGGCAGATTTCCTTATATAAAGAGTAACTCCGGAATGGCAGGGGGAAAGGAAAGGGCAAACTCCTGGAGGATGGAAAGCAGATGGGGCAGGAGTACAGAGATGGAGTTACAGATGGGTGTTGGGAATCTGGGAGCCCAGAACTGAAGAAGCGGTACTAGGCAGTTGGAGAGGGGATTTGTTGGGCAGGCCGGTCCAGATTTTGGAAAGGGGCTGGGCAAGGAACAAAATAACTGCTCCCACGCCCTAAGGCAGTGGTGGATGGAGAGTTGGGGGTAGGGGAAAGCACGGTGCTGGACAGGAAGGGAAGGCCTTTCTCCTGGCAGGAAGTTGAGCTCTAAGGAAAAGAGGGAGGAGACTGGCGACTACAGTGACTGGTGGGAGTCCGATGTGGCAGAGGGGCCGCCGCTGCCACCGAGAGGGAGCGGAGCCCGCCCCCTGCCCCCGCCCAAGCAGAGTTACGGAGACATTGCCGCCATCCTGTCCGCCTATCCAGCAGCCCACTTGACACGCTCCTTGCCTAAAGATCCTCCCTCCCAGCTCTTGCAAGCACCTATCTCGTCGTCTGCTGGTCCTCCTCCTTCGACACAGCCTCCTGGCGGAGGCAGCAGCGAAGTGTCGGATTTGGGCACGCGAAGCCCGCTGTTTCCAGTTTGGGGGAGTCTAGTCTCTGCCCTCTGGCCTGGACAGTGTTGGACGCAGGGCGGGAGGAATAAGGGGGTGCCCTCTATTTCTCTGACCACAACCAGAACTCCATAGCGCTAGCGTAGCCGGAACTAGCTAGGGAGGAAGGTTACTGCTTAAACGCAGGGTGCAGGGGATTTCCAGCTTTTCTGCCTAGCTTTAGAGGAAAACGGGCGTCTGGGCGTGTGTGTATGGAGTGCACTCTTTAAGAGATAAAGTTCACTGTGTCATGCATTGAATTTATTTCGTCTTGATTTCCTTTATTGGGCCGCTTTGTTACTGTGCTCCGCACAGGCATGAAGACCCCGATAGCAAAAACGGCTTTGGGGCAGCGGTCCAGGACAGGCTCAGGGCATGGCAGTGCATCTGTTACCATGATGAAGAGAAAAGCTGCATACAAGAAGCATAGGAGCAGACCCATCTCCCAGCCTCCAAGGAATATCGTGGACTGCAGAATTCGGCATGGATGGAAAGACGGAGATGAACCTCTAACAGAGTGGAAGGGAACCGTTCTGGATCAGGTACCTGTAAATCCCTCTCTGTATCTTATCAAATATGATGGATTTGACTGTGTTTATGGATTGGAACTTCACAGAGATGAAAGAGTGTCATCACTTCAAGTCCTTCCTAATAGAGTTGCATCATCTAGAATCAGTGATACACACTTAACAGAAATTATGATTGGCAAAGCAGTGGAACATATTTTTGAGACAGAGGAATGTTCCAAAAATGAATGGAGGGGGATGGTCTTGGCTCAGGCACCTGTCATGAATATGTGGTTTTACATTACCTATGAGAAAGATCCTGTATTATATATGTACTAGCTCTTAGATGATTATAAAGATGGTGACCTACACATCCTTCCAGATTCCAATGATTCTCCTCTCACAGAGAGGGAGCCAGGAGAAGTCATAGACAGCCTAGTAAGCAAACAAGTGGAATATGCCAAGGAGGATGGCTCCAAGAGAACTGGCATGGTCATTCATCAGGTGGAAGCAAAACCCTCTGTGTACTTCATCAAATTTGATGATGATTTCCATATCTATGTCTATGATTTGGTAAAAACATCTTAGAGGTCATTTTGAAATTTGCCAAATATGTGCAACTGCTTGTAAAATCTAAACACACAAAAAGTCTTGATTGTTTTACAATTTGTAAGAACCATCTTCTCCTCTTTTTCACACTTTTGCCTGGTAAAAAATTAAAACTTCCACCCTCTCAGACATGTTTTAAAGAATCCTTCTGCCTTTATCTCTAACCTTTTTATGTATTCCTCCCCACAGTAGAATGATTGACTTATCTAATTAGTGAGAAGTGCAAAGTCTGACATTCATTGGCCTATGTTTTTACCTTGGGTGGTGTTAATAGACTAAAGGTAACTGAACACTTCTTGCCTCATTCTTTTGGGCATTTAGACAATCTTCACTGAAGTGTGAAGTTTCCTGAGATATTCAATATGGCTGGCTAAGTATCTTGGTAACTTCAACCCTCCCCTTAGGTGACTTCAAATGTCTAATTTGGGAAAGGAGTGAGAGGCTCATGTTGGTCTTCCATCCAAGTTGCGTTTTAAATTCCAACTGTACTGAAAGTCTTATTCTTGCACTTCTTATTCAACTTGGTTCAAAATCAAGAGGGCAGTTATTTGTATTTCAGTGCATAGGCTGAGAAATCTTACAAAATTGTTAAGGGGTAAGCATTTAGGAACCAAATGCAAGTAGAGAAATCATGGCTAGTCATTAATGGCATTAGTATTTCTGTTGTCTACAATAGCTCTGGCTTGTACCTACAGATATGAAGTGGGTTTTTACAGACATAGTCTGTGCAGACAGAATTTAACACAATTGGGCTTTGCCAGACCTAGGGAGCATTAGGCCAGGCTCTAGCTAGAGTTCACAGTCACAGGGTAAAGGCTAGGTTTAGCATGGTTGGTAGATCTCTTCAGGACCTCAAAATAAAGGAGCAAAAATCTGGAATCAGCCTGAGATACAGGTTTCTTTCCTATGCTAGAAGGGATGCTTTGAAAATGTTTAGATTACATTTTCATTAGATTATTAGAAGACTTCTGAGTCCCAGCATATAAGGTGGGAAAGGCACTTGCTAGAACTAAAAAGACTGAAAATAGACTTTGCTTCCTTGTAGGAATTGGTGAGCTCATTTATTATGGTGTCCTAGTAGGACTATGAAACACATGCTAGATGATCAAAAGACAGTGATGTTCTAAGTGCTTTAATGTTTTAAATGCTGGCATTAGTAGATAGAAATCTAATAGATATTTGTTAAGTTTTTTCAGCTTTATCCTGTGTTTTTGGCTGGGCCTAAGAAACTCATATGCAGCTAAGGGTGAACCCTATTTCAGCAGAAAAATAAGTAATATCTTCCATTATTAAAGGCATTAGGGAAAGTCAACTTTGGGAAAGGTTGAAAAATAAGCCAAGTTTTGGAGAGAAGCATCCAGTCAAAACCAATGTGTTCTCACTGGGTTTCTAAGAGAAGCTCCATTAGCACTAAAAACCAGGCCATGGACTTCTGCAGATGTGGCATTGGGACTCATGATGGTACAATCAACCACTTGGGTAGTATCTTCCAAATTAAAGTTCACAGGACATAGAGTCAAGACTACTATATATATACACATGCAATTGTGGGGTTAGATTAATTCAACTCCTGAGGTTCCAAAGGAACTACACCAAATCAAGAGGAAGACAGTCCAGGCTACAGCTGCTGAAGGAACCCTATTATCTGTCAAGACATCTTTGTGAGATCTGTATGGTTAACATCAGAAAAACAAGAAATTTGGGAAGGCAGAATTTTGGACTTTAATTCTTTTGGATTTTAAAAAAGGAAATTTCCTGGCTATTATAAACAGTGCTGCGAACATTACTCAGCCATTAAAAAGAATTCATTTGAATCAGTTCTAATGAGATGGATGAAACTGGAGCCCATTATACAGAGTGAAGTAAGCCAGAAAGATAAAGACCAATACAGTATACTAACACATATATATGGAATTTAGAAAGATGGTAACGATAACCCTATATGCAAGACAGAAAAAGAGACTCAGATGTATAGGACAGACTTGTGGACTCTGTGGGAGAAGGCGAGGGCGGGATGTTTCAAGAGAACAGCATCAAAACATGTATATTATCTAGGGTGAAACAGATCACCAGCCCAGGTTGGATGCATGAGACAAGTGCTCGGGCCTGGTGCACTGGGAAGACCCAGAGGGATAGGGTGGAGAGGGAGATGGGAGGGGGGACCGGGATGGGGAATACATGTAAATCCATGGCTAATTCATTTCAATGTATGACAAAAACCACTGCAATGTTGTAAAGTAATTAGCCTCCAACTAATAAAAATAAATGAAAAAAAAAAAAAGAGGCAGGGGACATGGACATGTCCCTGTAGGGTGGGTATGTCCCCTGTGGGTGACTGTGGCTGAGTCAAGTTGGTACATGGCAGAAACCAACACAATATGGTAAAGCAATTATCCTCCAATTAAAAGTAAATAATTTTTAAAATATATATATTATATTAGCTTTCTAAACAATGCTTTATGATTTTCCTTCTGATTTGATTTCCACCAATCAAGGATTAAGCCAATAATGTTGATCCAGTTTGTGTAAACAACCAAAGGATACTAAATTTCTTTAAAGCTTCTACTTTCTCTTTGCCAACTATTACAATAAAAGGAGATATATTCTTTCAAAAAAAATAAAAAAATAAAAAAAGAAATTTCGTTTGGGGCATTCATTTTTCCCTTGGAGTTTAATAACTGATATGGCTTTCATACAGTTGAAATTAAGGTATTTTCATTATGTTGTTGACATTGTGTTATTTGGAGTATTTTAATGCTATCTTTGGGGCTTATTGTATAATCTTTATAATCTGTGTCAGATAATGTGGTTGGACACAATTATAAATTGAGAATAAAGTAGTGAATTTTCAGCCAGGGGTGTATGTAGCTTTAGAATTAGTTTAATTACTGTTCTATTCTGACTTATTTCAGTGCCTTCTGCAGCAAAAGTAGAATTACTCACCAGTCTTACACAAGTGGGAGCAGGACATTTCTAAGATCCTACTGGTTTCCCCCCAAAGGGGCAGTCAAGCCCTGTTTGTCTTGGGTGTTGGTAATATGGACAGAAACGTCCAAAGTTATGATAGGACTTATCCTCTGCCTCTCTCCATGTTCCTAAACAAGAAAAAAGCATTGTGCCTCTCAAAAACATTTGGAAGAAAATTTCTACCTATCTCTACTAGTGACTCATTCAGTGTCCCAAGTGGGAGGAGAAACAACTTGGTGAAACATGAGAAAAGGGTTATTATGGATATGTAACTTAAGGCCGTGTTGGCTCTTGAGTTCATTTCTCACAGAACGATATGGGAAAGCAGATAGTCTGTCACTACATGACTGGGTAAACCTCTAATCTGCAGACCTCTCTCACCCTCTGGGGTGGGGGATCAACTGTCTTTACACTTGAGGTAGAAGTTCATTTCAGGCTTAGGTCCAAAACATGTCCTCCAGTCCAGCTCTATCAGCAATAAAGCCGATATCTATTTTTATTCTTAAAAAATTTTTAATATGTAAATCATTTTGCACAAAAATGCATGCCTCTAGTAAAAATCAAACAGTTCAAAAGGATATACAGTATAAAGTAAGTCTCTTTTTTTTACATCCTTGACCTCAGTCCCACTTTCCAAAGATAAACACTCTTACCAGTTACTATGTATTTTTCCAGAGATAATCCATGTACTTACAAGTATATTATATATATGTATATCAATTTTTATACAAATTGTGGCATACTATACATGTTGTTATGAATTTTGCTTTTTTAATATATTAAAGCTGTTATTTTAACCCCCCTTTGATTCCTGTGTATATTTTTTAGTTGGTTCAGAACCTGGAAGGGAAGGAGGTATGATTGATTCAGACTAATTTAATGAAAACTTAAATGTCCCTGAGAATCCACCAATTCTGCCAGGTAAATTTTTCTGACTAGTAGAATATGAAATGTATGTAAACATGATTGATTTTAATGGAAGGAACTCCTTGAGGCTAGTATATTTTTATTGAAGGAAGTTAAAAAGGGAATCAACTATAAATTGAAGCTTTGGAAAAAGTTAGTTGTAATCAGTTATTCAAAAATGAAATGAACAAGCATTTTTTTTATTCCAGCTTACACTGACACCTACTGCCAGATGCAAATTTATTTGCTTTTTATAACAGAATGCTTTTCTGAGTGTAACAAGAAACTCCTTTTAAATATGTTTAAACAGTTGCCAAGTATTATTGATTCATATAACTAAACTAATCCAGAAGTTAGATAGGCTTCAGGCTTGGTTTGATGGGGGCTCAGGCTCAGTGTCTGTGATTCATTAAGATTTTCCCTCTTCTGTATGTCAGTTCCAGTCTCACGATGTCTCTTTTCATGGTGGCAAAATTAGACCAGCAGTTCCAGTCTAGAGAAAGATAAATAACCTGTGTCCTATGGTGAATTCTGAACTGGCTTAGGATACATACTTAGACCAATCACTGAAGTCCCATGGATGAAATGCACTGATTGGCTTAGCCAGGGCATGTGTTCCATTCCTGAACCGTAAAGTATATCTCCCTAGAACTAAATGGATTTCTAGTAAAATTAGCATGAGGAGTGAATGCCATGAACCAATCACAAATGTCTGGTATAGCTTCTTCCTTTGAGTAGTGAGTGTCCGTGGACATCTTTATTCCCCCGTGTGTGTGTGTGTTAGTTGCTCAGTTGTGTCTGATTCTTTGTGATCCCATGGACTGTGGCCCACCAGGTTCCTCTGTCCATGGAATTCTCCAGGCAAGAATACTGGAGTGGGTAGCCATTCCCTTCTCCAGGGGATCTTCCTGACCCAGGGATTGGACCTGGGTTTCCTGCATTGCAGACAGATTCTATATTATCTGAGCCACCAGGGAAGCCCTTATTCCCACATATCCAATTTCAAAAAATGTTCACACCTGCATGTAGTGAATTTATGTTTTCAAAGAGGAAAAACCTAAAGTCTTATCCAGTTATTACATTTAACGTTAAGTTTAGGATCTCTA